GTGTTGACTGGTGTTGACTGGTGATGACCGGTGTTGACTGGTGTTGACTGGTGTTGACTGGTGTTGACTGGTGTTGACTGGTGTTGACTGGTGTTGACTGGTGTTGACTGGTGTTGACTGGTGTTGACTGGTGATGACCGGTGTTGACCGGTGTTGACTGGTGATGACCGGTGTTGACAGGTGTTGACTGGTGTTGACTGGTGTTGACTGGTGTTGACTGGTATTGACTGGTGTTGACTGATACATGATTGTACTGACAAACAGCTACACAGACTATTTATTGTGCTTTTTGCAGGATTTTGTGAAATGTACACGCTACTCTCTAACGTATTTTATGTATGGTGTGTTTGTGTGTGTGTGTGTGTGTGTGTGTGTGTGTGTGTGGGCGCGCGTGCGCGGGTGCGTTCATGCCTGTGCGTGTGTGTGTGTGCATGCACGTGTGGGCATGGTTTTGTATGTGTGCTTCAGGTTATTGTTGTATACAGCAGTCCAGGGTTGGATTCTGGTTACATGATGGCAGAGAGAGGCGCAGAGAAAGGACGAGTACCTGTAGCATACATTGAGTTGCTTTGAACTTATATATGTAGTGAGTAATTTTAATAATTACGAAAACTCCTGTTCGTTGTGCAACCTACAATGTTCTTGCTGCTGCTGCTGCTACTTCTTCTTCTGCCACATGTGTTGCTTCTGATGCTTCCAGCGCCACCTGAATATCCAGCTCTGGCTTTGCATTTCACCAATGCATGTGATACGCGCGCGAGCGCGCGTGTGTTTGTGTGTGTGTGTGTGTGTGTGTGTGTGTGTGTGTGTGTGTGTGTGTGTGTGTGTTGAGCCTTGTGTGCTAGCACGGTCAGTATCTCTCATTGCCTATGGACTACAAGTATTAGTTATATCCTTGCATCAAAAGTATTTTCACTGTATCTGTCCAGGAAACTGTTTTCCCAATGGGTACCCCAATTCTCTGCATCTATTCCATTGTCATCTATTCCATTGACTATTTTCTACTGAGCAGTTTCTACTGAGCAGTTTCTGTATTCTATGTGTGCCATCCAGCTGTGATGTTATGCTGTTTTCTATATCACGGTTCTGCTATTTGCAATGCTGTCCAATGACTTGTTCTATGTTTAAGCCACTTATCACCTTCTTTGTATGTAGTGATGTGTAGGCCACATGCCCACCGTCATCATCCAGCATAGGTATGCATTGTGTAGGCCACATGCCCGCCGTCATCCAGCATAGGTATGCATTGTGTAGGCCACATGCCCGCCGTCATCCAGCATAGGTATGCATTGTGTAGGCCACATGCCCGCCGTCATCCAGCATAGGTATGCATTGTGTAGGCCACATGCCCACCGTCATCCAGCATACACATAGGTATGCATTGTAGAAAGGTGTGCATGAACACTGTCTCTACGCAGGCAGCGTGACCTCACACTTTCACAGAATTGTATTATACCTCAGTACCAATGCATTGCATCTGATCATGCCGTTGTCATCCCGTTATGTATGTTTCACAAATTTCACAATGTGCTTAGCACAGTATTTATTAGCACAGTGGTTTGAGAATGCAAATCATGAACTTGTTATTGTAACCGTGGCGATGCTATGGCAGCTTGGCGTTGTAACCGTGGCAATGCTATTGCGGCTTGGCATTGTAACCGTGGCAATTGTATGACAGCGTGGCATTGTAACCATGGCGATGCTATGGCTGTTACTTCCAGTCACACTACTGCACTACGCGCATGTGCCGGGTGATTTAATCAACTACATGGCAAGGTAACGCTGTGTGTGTGTGTGCGCGCGCGCGCGCGCGTGTGTGTGTGTGTGTGTGTGTGTGTGTGTGTCACTGTGTGTGTGTGTGTGTGTTTATTAGGTGACTGGCTATGCAGATTGACAGTGTGATTCAGTTTCAGTATTCTCCTGCCAGCAGTCTGGTGTACATTGGCAGTCTGGTGTACATTGGCAGTCTGGTGTACATTGGCAGTCTGGTGTACATTGGCAGTCTGGTGTACATTGGCAGTCTGGTGTACATTGGCAGTCTGGTGTACATTGGCAGCCTGAGCTGTGTGCTACTCAGTATAATGGTTTTATTATTGCAGTCAGACCTCGCTTATCCGGTCCTCGTTTATCCGGATCCCTCGCCATCCGGAAGAAAAAAGCTGGTTACATATTTACAGCATACGTGATGCATCCAACATAAACGGTGTTCGGTTATCCGGTTCCCTCGCCTATCCGGATTTTTTTTGGAAAACGGATGGGTGCGGTTAAGCGAAGTCTGGCTGTACCATGTAGCCGCCATGGCCTGGGATGTACCAAAGATTGTGCTATGCACAAGGTTGGATTCTGTGAGCCGGAGAAGTGGAGAAAGGAGCACTTGAGCGTGTGATATGCATGGATGGGGTGACTGAACAGTGAACTTGACTCATATTACTAGTAATAGTGCTAGTTCTAGTCTCTGCAGTGCAGGCCATCACATGATCACCAGGACCATGGTCACATCCATGGGGACAGTGCGGTCGATAAAAAGCGCTGGGTGTTCACCATTCTACGTTGTCGTGTTCGTCACTACACACTCTGACTTCCTCCAGCTGGACTCAGGCACCCTGGCCCATGCTGCCCCTACTGTCAGCCCTACTACCCAGTACCCCTACTACATTGTACTCCTACTACTACTAGTACTAGTCCTACCCCTGGCCTAGGCTAGGACCTGCACAGGGTGCAGTCCAAGGCTATCGGTATCACTATGCAGCTCCAGTCCAGAGGAACATTGTGGTAGATCTACACATATGCGCTTGACTGGAATGTCATTATCACTGCATCAGTCGTCACGGTGGTAGCAGTTGTTGCAGTAGGTCACGCACTAGTCACTGGGGTCTGCGGCAGCTTTGCTAGCATTTCCGCTCTATGTTCAGCTACCTGTACACAGTACAGGCTGTTAGTGTAGTAGCGACTAGTCTTTGCTTGTTGTGTAGCGGGCCGCAGCGCTACACTTGCTCTTTGCATCGAGTGGCACTGTGCCTTTGGTAAATTCGGACCTTTCGAGTATTCGTCCAGTCGCTACTGCACTGTGCAAGATGCTGTTGGCTCATCTCTTGTGGAACTAACTTGCACTGGCGAAGGGCTGCTCTTAGTCCTAGTAGTTGCCCCATGATGGCCACAGTCAGGCTGGGCCACCGCCCTCTATACGGTAAAGTTCGACGTTACCGCCGCTCTGTACACACGTTCTACGGACCCGCCGCTCTGGCGTGAGTTTCTACGTACTATCCAGATAACCCGTCTGAGCGCCGGTAAGCACATGTGCACCACTGTCTGTAAACTAAGACCAGTTTAGGCAGTTAGTGTTCTACTCTGTATTCCCGCACTTTTCCACTGATTGTCGACAGATATGTCTCGTGTGCTGGAGTTTACCGTTCACGCTAACTTCGACCGTAGACCAACGTCGGCGCGGCCTGTACAGTTTTGTGTGGCACGGTTTTCAAGACACTGGTATAAGGGCCTGGTCAGACTGCGGCAAAATCGAAATAATCCTAGGATTATAATCCGAATCTCCATAGTAACTTGCCGCCAGAGCGGCAAAAGCGAGAGTTGACGCTCCAAAAAAAAAAGCAAGAACGGACCACGCTTTTCCGCTCCAAACAGGATTTGCCATTGACGCTGATAATCACTGATTTTTTCATCTCGATATCGAGGAGCTTATTGGCCACGGACAACAACAAAACTCATGAGGATGGTTGCAAGGATTGCACTGAAGGTGTTGGCGATCCCCAAGGTGAAGGAATTTGACGTCGTTCGTGGAGATTACCACTTGACGCTCGAAATGAAGTTTGAATTTTCACTCTCCCCACATGTGTAGTGTGATCGCGATTCAAATTCTGGACGCTGTTCTTTTTTCGTCAGGCAACCAAAATTTGCCGCAGTCTGACCAGGCCCTAAGGGGGTTGGCGACGGTTAGCGCCATGTTGGATTTCCGAATTTGTTCTGAAAAATAATGCCTTTCGGAGTGGAAAAATGGGACGCGATCATGCACAATCGAGTAAGCAGTTTGACCATGACTTCGCAGCGTGCTCGAGTCGAGACAAGATTTGAGGGAGAAGCTCAGCCGCTAGTGGACTTGCGGATTTGTTTTGACATCGGCGGTTATTGGATAGCTTGGTTCTCCTGCCGATGTGTCGTGGAGATGAAGACGCGAGAGTAATCTGTCACCCATGGCGCGGCCTCGCATTCTGCGTACTGGACGATTCAAGAAGCCGAGGAGGGGGACGCTTCGCAAGCTCAAACGATCGATCGAGTTCCTGAAAAACGGAAAGGGCGATCTCCACCAACAACGCCACTGGATTCGACTCCCGCGAAGAGGTCGCTCAGTGCCCCTCTTCACGGTCGACGAATCCATACCTGCCAAGTACTGAGAGTGCTTTTTCTGGATTGCCATTGCAAAATCCCGGGATTTGCCTTGGTTTTTCGGGATGTCCTATTTTAGTTTGAATCTTACCTTTTCGTTCTCCCGCTAAACAGAGCTTTCTATCGTCGAAACGGTACCAAACCGACGGTATTTTGGGTGTTGGGTACGAGTACCGTTGGATTTAGCGCGAACGGTAAAATACTAAAAATGCTAACCATGTCTACACACACAAAAAACGGTACTGGCCGACCGTCGAAAATAGCGTGAGCGGTAAAATGCTAACCATATCTATTGACACTGCAAGACAACGTTCCTAGTTCCTAGTTTTCGCCTCAGTGCGGTGGGCATGCCTGCATCCACAGTGAGAGCATTCGATTAGGCACGCGGATCGATTCACGAATCGATTCATGAATCGATTTGTGCTATTCACATCACCCCATGTGAATAGAGTGAATGGATTCCGAAACGATTCCAGGGCTCATGACCTGAAAATCAAACGACTTGAATGCATGCGAATGGATTCATGAATCGATTCAAGTGCATAATTGAACGCAGCCGCTGGGACTGAGCATAAACTGACACATAATTATGATATTGACTTTCCCCTTGATAAGTACGACAGTCACGTGAGTTGAGTGCAACAAGCTTTGACAATCGTCATGGTTACAGGTTCATTGTGTGTATTGTGTGTACCAGTACCAGTGGCATGAGCAGTTACATGATTGGTTGGTTTGGTCCAGCTATGCAGCTCCGCCAACCCCTTTCTGCATTTGTCACACGTACCAAGTCATTCCTAGGGTTCCCAGTAAAAAGGCTACGCCTGTTGGGAGTTTCCCTAGTAGAATAATAAATTCTACTACTACTACTACCACAACCTTTCACACATTGACTATTGAAAGTTGCGCTCACGCGACGAGAAAGAAAAATGCGAGAATGGTTGCACTTTGTGCAGGAAAGGATACTCGTGTGCTCACACGACACCTTTACATCTACGATTAATTAAAAAAAATACAAGTCCTCGAGCAAATCTACATTCCCTGTGGATCGACGTCAAATGCTTTCTTCAATGCTGAGAAGACGATGGATGACTGACATGCTGCCCTGGTGTTTTTCTTGTTGAGACGTCTCAATGCCTCTCCGAGAGCAGCGCAGGCTCTCTCCTTTCTCCCGTGACCCTCCAGACGAAAGAGCGATCTGCACGTCTCCTCTTGCGCTTCTCGCTGAAGGAAAAGCCTGTTCGTGCAGCACTTGATGCAGGATTTTATGTTGCTCGCACGACAATGGTCCTTTCCTCGTTCGTCGAGGTCATGTTTCCCTGCTCCCGCAGCAGAACATCGTGCCTAGCCTGCATAACAACCTCAGGCTCAGAAGAAAACACTATCTCCGGCATCGTGCAAGTAGGAACTACAAATAATTACAAGCTACTTGTCGTTCACTGCTCAACAACATGCTCAGTGACTTGACACAAGCAGAAAAACAGTCAAACAGAGCAGAATCCGATCCAGGACTCCATGCAGTACACCAGCACCCTCAACATCTGTGTGGCTTTGTGAATTTCTTTAGCTTGTGAGAAAATCCGAGTACGGGTATGCTAAAGTCAATGGTGGTTGAAATGCAAGCATGGGTCCTAGGAGTGCAAGGTGGGTATGCATCTTTCTTGTCATAGCCTGATGATAGGAAGGTGAAGAAAAAGTAGCTGTCTGCTCAGACTCTGTTGCCGATGACACTGTCATATCACACATGTGTGCTGGTAGCACGTGTGCGATGTACATGTATGCGAGAAAGTAATATACATTGTACTACGAGTATGCTGTGAGGAATGAGAATCATCGCGGCCAGTGATAAAATAAGTGTTTGCACTCGACAAGGCAAAAGGTAATGATGAGTGATGCTAAGTTGAGGATACTGTGATGGAGGTGTAGAATTAACAGCAGGCCGGTAGTTGTTGGATAGTAAGCATTTCTGAGGCAGTGATAATGATATCAGTGTAGTTTGTCATGCATTTTTGGCTATTGGCAGAAATTAGAATTGTGATGGTGATAGTTATGGAGCGGTGATGTAGTCATGGTTACAATGCTGATATCCACAACAATGATGGCGGTGGTTATGGCAAGGGAAATGATGGTTACAGGCTTACAGCAATGACATCATGACAAGGCTGATGGTGATGGTTATAGGAATGAAACTGATGGTGATGGTTATCGGAATTGTCAGATTGTCATTGTGGGATCGGTGATGAGTCTAGTCGGTCAGGAGGTGAGCATCATAGCTGAATTGAAAATAGCCCTGCACACATCACACATCACACATCACACATCACACGGCACACAGCACACATCACACAGCACACATCACACAGCACACAGCACACACAGCACACAGCACACATCAGTTTACAATAGCAGAAAGTCACGGCAGGACCGGCGGCACAGGGAAATGAAGCAATTCAAGCATGCGGCTGAGCGAAGTACTCTATCGGTGTAAATGTTCACTAGTTCAGTGGTGTTATGGGATCTCATAATAGGGCATGGTGTGTACTGGGATCTCATACTAGGGCACGGTGTGTACTAGGATCTCCTAATAGGGCATGGGGTTGTGAAGGGCCTAGGGGAGGACACACCAACAACCCACTCTTGTCCGGCTAACCGACAACTAACCCTGAAGGGCTGTCATCCTTGTTATTTTATCTTGGTGTGTAAAGTTGTACAATATGTGAGTACTAGAAAAGGTACCGGTAGTACGGGAAGTAGTACGCAGCATGCTATTCTAATGTCATATATGGACAGGTGTAAATATGAGGATGTGAAGGTTATAGTTACTGTATATGTATATGTATAGGGATATTTAATGGCACCAAATGATATAGTTCCAATATCATCACACCATTCCCCTTCTCCGGTCACAGATACCATCTGTGACATTGACTAAACGAGAAACAATAGATATAGAATGTAACGGCACTAAAGGATATAAAGGTACAATATCATCACACCATTCCCCTTCTCCGGTCCGAGATACCATCTGGGACAATGACTAAATGAAGAGAGAAACAATAGACGAAGAAGCTAGGAGCAACACAGCAGGAGAAGAAAGTCACATCTGGCGGGACAATGCATCGGCGTTGCCATTGAGAGCGCCAGGCCGGTGCACAACGGTGAAAGCGAACGGCTGCAGAGCAATGGCCCATCGGGCCACCCGAGCATTGCCACTATGATGCTGAGCGATCCATTGAAGAGGGCGGTGGTCGGTAATCAAGGTGAAGCGTCTGCCGAGGAGATACGGAGCGAATTTGAGAATGGCCCACTTGAGGGCGAGACACTCCTTCTCGATGGTGGCATAACGGCGTTCACGGTCGAGGAGCTTGCGACTGGCATATGCTACGGGGTGTTCGGTGCCCTGGGCATCACGCTGGGTCAGGACAGCGCCCAAACCAACATCGGACGCGTCCGTGTGCAGGTAGAACTCCGCAGCAAAGTTCGGCGCAACAATGACCGGGTCGGAGACAAGGAGGCCTTTCAATTGATAGAAGGCCTGTGCAGCTGAGGTCGTCCAGTGGAGGGTGTTGGGGTGGCCCTTCGACGTCATGGCTTCCAAGGGCTCCGCGATGGTTGAAAAGTGAGGAATGAGGCGACGATAGTAGCCGCACAACCCCAGGAAGGAACGCAGGGCCTTCTTGGTCGTGGGCTGTCGCCAATCGTCGATAGCTTGCAACTTGCCAGGGTCCGCACGCACCCGACCATGACCAATCACATGGCCAAGGAAGGGAGTTTCGACCATACCCAATAAACACTTCTTCGGCTTCACAGTGAGCCCAGCGTCGTGAAGGCGACCAAGAACGTGGCGGAGCTGGACAAGATGGTCCTCAAAAGTCGGACTGAAGATGACGACATCGTCCAAATACGCCAGGACAAACGGGAGACCAGCCAAGACGGTATCCATGCAATGCTGAAATGTTGCAGGCGCTCCATGGAGCCCGAATGGCATCATAGTGAACTCGTACAGGCCAAACGGTGTGGTGAAGGCCGTCTTGGCACACGCATCCTCTGCCAGAGGGATCTGCCAATACCCCCTGGACAGGTCAAGGGTGGAGAGAAACTGGGCAGACCCGACAGAGTCGAGGATCTCGTCCACCCGCGGCATCGGGTAACAGTCGAACTGGGCCACCTGATTAAGGGCACGGTAGTCGACACAGAAGCGGATCGAGTCGTCCTTCTTCGGCACAAGCACAACGGGTGAAGACCACGGACTGCGGGATGCGCGTATGACGCCCATGTCCAGCATTTCGTCGACGGCATCGCGGACAACAGAATGGTGCGCAGCGGCAAGACGATATGGCCGGGAACGAATGGGTGTGGCGTCGCCAGTGTGGATGGAGTGAGCCACCACGGTCGTTTGGCCAGGCTGGGGTGAGAGGGTATCCTCAAACTCCGATAGCAGCATGTCGAGCTGTTGCCGCTGGTCCGGCGAAAGGTCGGGGTTAATGGTAGGACGGCCACCATCAACGTGTAGAGGGGAGCAGTCGTCAAGCAGCAGCTCCGTGTCTGGGTCGTCCTCCGCCATAGGAACGGTGAAGGCCGCGAGCTGGGGCCGGCGAAAACGCCGCAGGAGGTTGATGTGGAAAACCCGATATCGCTTCGTGCGGTGGGGTCCCATGTCAATCTCATAATTGACCTTGTCGACCTTACGCCGAATAGGGTAAGGGCCTTGCCACACGGCTTCCATTTTGCGAGCCGAAGCCGGAAGCAAGAGCAGTACCTCGTCTCCCGGAGCAAATGTGCGTTCCCGACTCAGGCGGTCATAGTAGGCCTTCTGCCGTTGCGGCGCGGTGGCAAGGTGGGAGCCAGCCTCAGTCGATATGCGTTCAAGCCGGTCCCGCATGGTGAGGACGAACTGGGCAGTAGTGGTCCGGAGCTCCTCCGTTGGCTGAGCCCAAGCATCGCGCACGAGATCCAGCGGGCCGCGGACATGGCGGCCGTACAGGAGCTCAAATGGTGAGAAACCAGTGCTGGCTTGAGGCACCTCTCGATACGCAAATAAAGCATATGGGAGCACCTCGTCCCAACTTCGTGGCGCATCAGCAGCAAACCGACGAAGCATACCCTTGAGGGTACCATTGAACCGTTCGACGAGGCCATTGGTCTGTTGATGGTACGGAGTGGATGTGGTAAGCTGGATACGGAGTAAAGCAGCAACTTGTCGGAGGACGTCCGATGTAAAGTTGGAGCCTTGGTCGGAGAGGATTTTGTCTGGCAGTCCTACTCTGGAAAAGATGGAGATCAACGCATCAGCCACGGTAGTCGACTCAATATTGGAAAGAGCGACTGCCTCCGGATAGCGGGTTGCATAATCCACCAAGGTGAGGATGTACTTCTTGCCGGACTGCGTACACTGCAATGGGCCGATAATGTCAATAGCTACCACCCGGAAGGGCTCGCCAAGAACAGGAAGAGGAATAAGTGGTGCCCGATCATGACGCAGAACACGGGCGGTGCGCTGACATGGTTCACAGGCGGAACAATACTGTGCGACATCTTGAAGAATCGTCGGCCACCAGAAACGGAGAAGAATCCTCTGGGATGTCTTCGCCTGTCCCATGTGGCCAGCCATGGGGACGGTGTGGCCGAGGTGCAGAATGGTGGATCTCCGTTTCGTGGGCAGAACCAACTGAAGGCGGTAGTAGGGGCTGGTGGTGTCCATCCCCGCTTCACCATCCGGTGAGTATTCCCGGTAGAGGAGGCCCTGGCGAACACAGAAGGTACTGCCATTGACGGGCGTCTTGTGTCGGCCAGTAGCATAGTCCCAACATGGGCTAAGAGATCGGTCACGCCGTTGCTCGTCGGCGAAACGGGTGGCATCTGGCAAATCGGGTGCAGAGATAGGTGGCGGTGTCACCTCCGGTGTGCTAGATAGGTCCGCCGGCGGTGCACGCAAAGAAGCTGCATTCGAGGCCAACTCCTCAAACAGTTCATCCTCGAACGGGAAGATGTCGTGCAAACCAGCAGCACCAGTCGACTCAGGTGAAGCCTTGGCCTGTGCACGCGTAGAGACCAAGACGTCCGTGGCGGCTGGCTGACACAGCCGGACCAACTCATGTATGTGGGGCACATCACGGCCAAGCAACACGTGACGGGGCAGGTGCTCGGACACTGCTGCCTTGACATAGTACACCATGCCGTCGATGGTGATGGTCAGATCGGCCATGGGGTAACTGGCCACATCACCGTGGGCACAACGAATGGAGGTAGTCTCACCAGACAAATCTTGGTCCCGGACCAAGGTCCTGTGTACCATGGTGCGGCCACACGCGGTATCAACAACGATGCTCGGGACGTGGGTACCATTCACGTACCCAGCGACGGTGTACTCCGGTGCTGGTCCCATGGCGGCGCTGGGATTAGCGGGGGGCAACCGACCAGAGTCTACAGGTGGAGGGGGTGAGCAGAAATATGCTTCACCCAGCAGATCATCCTCATCCGGCAGCAAATGAACTGTACCAGCATCTTGGACTTCCTGATCTGGGCTGGAAAACAGAGCGGTGCGAGTGTGATTCGGACACTTAATAGCAATATGTCCCAGCTCACGACAATTATAGCAATGCGGCTGCGACATGGGGCGTCTCGGTGGTGGTGTGGGACGGTCAGGACGAGAAGTCACTGGGCGGTCAGATGACAAGTGGGTCTGACTGGGGTTAGCTGAGGAAGATACTGGCCGGTCCCGCGCTGAGCCTGAGGTTGGTGCAGCCCAGTGAACTCGAGCAAGGTTGGATGACTCGGACGTCCGGTCTCGGGGTGACGCAAATGACCCCTGCACCTGGGCACGTGCGTCAGTGTTCGGCAATGGTGCCCGTCGCTTAGAACAATCCCTGGCCATGTGGCCACGCTGCTGGCAAATGTGGCAGACAAGAGACTGTTCCCTGCCGCTGCTGAGACGACCACTGCTGGGCTCCTGTACGCGATCCCGTGCGTCAAGATAGTCCTGCGCTAGCGAAGCAGCCTGGTCGAGGGACGACGGTTTGCGTTCCCGCAGCCAAGTGCGTAAACCAAAAGGAAGCGCAGACAAGAACTGTTCCAGTAGGATCAACTCACATATGGCTTCGCGCGAGGATGCGGGGCTTAGCCAACGACTGCCAGTGTCACGGACACGGACGGCGAAGTCAATCATGGACTCCGAGCTCTGCAGCGTAGTGCCCCGAAATTTACGGCGGCTCGTTTCGGGGGTAACGGCATAGCGATGGAGAATGGCCTCCTTCACGCGGTCGTAGCTGTCAGCCTCAGTGGAGGCAAGTTCCGTGTAAGCCAACAAGGCCTTGTCAGTCAGCTGGGGGCTTAGCAAATAGACCCAATCGTCCGGAGGAACTCTGTACGCCCGCATGGATCGTTCGAAACTGGTGAGGAATGCCTCAACATCGTCCCCAGGGCGCAGTTTAGCCAGTGGCACCTTCTGAGAGAATCGCCGTGTGGCCTGAGTGAGTTGCACTTGCGCCATTTGCGTGACCAACTGCGTGAGCATCGACAGCTGGGACGGCGAGTCGACATCGACATCGACATCGACATCGGTGGCGGAACGCTGTTCGTGTTCAGCCTCAGCCTCAGCCTCAGGGGTCTCAGCAGCAGGATCGATGTGCACGTGCGGGGCATGCGGACCTGCGGGTGTACGTGTACGACTAGCGCTGGCCTGCGCCTGATCACTCAGTTCGTGCGTACTACTACTAGGCCGAGGGTCTCCATACACGGGATCCTCACCAAAAGCGACATGTACGGGCTGACGGTGGACGTGGACCGCTTTTGGCTCCGGAGTAGAGCATGCAACCTTAGTATGGCTATGTGTACGCCCAGTACGAGTACGACGGCTAGCGGAAGCCAGTGCAGGTGCGTCATGCGTATGGTAAGTACTAGGACTAGTAGTAGGAGCAGAACCCTGATTGGCCTGAAACTGCGACTGGTTCATTGCAAAGGACTGCTCACTGTTGTAATCTAATTTGTTGCTCACAATACTGTTGCCGAAATAAGGATTATCACTTACTTTCGGCAAGCGAGGTTTCGGAGACGGTGCGGGACGAAACAAATCCATGGGTGGAGAAGGGAGCGTCGACCTGGTAGCAGCATCAGGTAAGCCAGTGAGCTCCTCATCATCCGGGGCCACCTCCTCGAACTCAGTGTCGATCTCCCGATCCATCCGCGCACTGCTGTGCGATACGGAGAGGATCCGCCGCACAAGATCAGAGCGTGCACCACCGGTGGGGAGATGCAGCCCCCGGCAGATGTCCCTCAACTGCTCGTGGCGAGCAAACGCCAACGACTCGAGATCCATGGCTAGCTCACTTGCGGCCCCACGAACTCGAAAAAACGAAAAACTAGAAACGAGAGAGCTTGGAAGCTCAGGGCCCTACGCTATGCTTTTTTGCCTTGATGACCTAGACAAAAAAAGCATTCATCCCCCGATGCACTTCGCAATCATACTAATTCTTCCAAGTTGTTTCACATTGTGATCTTGCATTTGAAAGCCCTATTTGAGTTACCTGTATATGCATTGTGGCCAGCCGTCTTTGATGGCACGGTACGGTAGGGGATAGGGACGGGACAGGTACGATCGAGGGTAATACGACACCGTCTCCCGTACAGTACCGTACCATAAAACAGCTGGCCACATACAGCTTCCCGCAATATTTAAATAGGGCTTTCAAACGCAAGATAATAACGTAACGCAACTAGGAAGAATGGGTATGAATGCGAAGTGTATGGGGGAATGCATGTAGGGCGATAGTGCGGGTTCGAATCCCAGGATATGCCTGAAAAAAAGGAGAATTGAAAAATTTATAACATCCTAACATCCTATGCTTTTTTGCCGTCAGATACGGATAGCGCCAGGCGTGACACAAACAAACAAACACACAAACAAACACCAAATTAAAGCTGTGTGGACCCTGGCTAGCGCCAGACGTTACTGAAGTAACGTCTTCTGCATAGCTACGGGAATAAAAATACGCAAACTTTCAGCAACGACGGAGGTACGCAGTACTGACACACAGTGACTGGACCACTTCTGACACCATGTGAAGGGCCTAGGGGAGGACACACCAACAACCCACTCTTGTCCGGCTAACCGACAACTAACCCTGAAGGGCTGTCATCCTTGTTATTTTATCTTGGTGTGTAAAGTTGTACAATATGTGAGTACTAGAAAAGGTACCGGTAGTACGGGAAGTAGTACGCAGCATGCTATTCTAATGTCATATATGGACAGGTGTAAATATGAGGATGTGAAGGTTATAGTTACTGTATATGTATATGTATAGGGATATTTAATGGCACCAAATGATATAGTTCCAATATCATCACAGGGGTGTACTGGGATCTCCTAATAGGGCATGGTGTATACTGGGATCTCATAATAGGGCATGGTGTATGCATCATGACCAGTATACTGTAATCAGTACTCATTACTTGGCCGCGCACAGACTTGTGAGGCTCGTGGATAAACAGGTGGTGAGCTTTTTTGGGACAGAAACCTTTGAAAGGGCATGCAAATTCCTGGGCACACGGGTTTGTCCAAAATATGGTTAACCTTTTTTTTCTTTTTCCTCACATGCTGGGGTCCCATTTGCATTGGGCAGCATGTAGAGGCGACGGTTTCAAATAGGACATAGGTTGCAAACCGGAACGGTCTCAGTATTCACTTTCTCTCTTGGTATTTTGATTAGAAAACGTATGCCACAGTGAGACTACGATGTGTTTTACTCAGCGCCAAACTTCCATGGCTCTGCGATGACCAGAAGCACCATACCAAGCATTTGAGTTTTTGATGTGTTGTTCCCCACTGCGACTTGAGTTTTACGACTTTCGAAAAATCAACTTCTTGTCGCAGGTAAACAGCGGCTTGCCTCTCGCCAATAAAGCACTGCATACCGATCAAAACTAATGGAAGCACACACAAGCCTTATTGTTACTCTGTACTGGCCGTCGTGGAGCGATAGCAATTACCTAATTTCAGACCCAGAGTGAATTTGACGTGCACTCTAAAACATGTCCGGTTTGGAGCCACCTCTGGTTTGAAGCGAAACATTTGGCAATTTGGAGGCAATGGGTCAACACAAAGGAGTGGCTCAGTTCGATTGACTCTGGCCTCAGAGCAAACTTCAACATGCCAGTTTCCTTCCACAAACATATTTTTGATGATCGGTTTGGGTCTATACAAATTTGGCTGTCAAGCCGTTCCGGTATCGAACCGTCGCCTCTACATGTACACATTGTTTGCCTGTGAAGTTTTTCAACTGATTGGGAAGTAGGATGTATAATACTGCGAATACTACTTCATAGCGGTCATCAATACTCAATAATTATGATGTCATTAATACTCAATGACATCATAGTAAAACTAAACTGTAGCAATTATTAGCTTGCATGCAGTTAGACTGTCAGTAGACCTGGGGAAAACGGTAAAAGCGGTATTCACAGGTAAAAAGAACATGTTCTAATCTCTGAACTGGAACTAGTAGTGGCTATACAGTACTTTGTAACGTACATTGCATTGTACATATACAGCAAACAGCTGCTGAGCAGGCATGTGTACGTTCACTCTACATGCACAAACTGCACTGAATGCACCCCCCCCCCCCCCCCCCCGCAAGTCTAGGCCGTTATCACGGTCTAGGTGGTGTATGTTATGATCACGGTCCGGTGTGCATGGCAGGTTCATGTGTGTGTACAAAATGAAGCACTTCACTGCCATTGCTCTACCAGAGACTCCCTTGATTTAGGCGAAAGCCTGGGGAGAATCGATAAATGCAAATACAAATATCACTACTTCCACCACTCCCTTGAGCCTCTGCTGGTGCGTGCGCTTTAAGAAAACCAGGTTCTCTCTTACATCATAGATCTTGGGCTGTATGTTCTTGACTTGAATATCATAGGATTTCATAGTGTGTAAGTCGAACCTCTCCTTCATGATGTCTGCATGGAAAACATTACAGGACATCACATGAATTTATGGAAAAGAAAAAAGGAGCAAGGAACTACATAATAATTATTACGCTATACTGTCCACTTACACCACCAGATACTTAACAATCAATCAGCTCACGCGATAAACTTGCACGACTCGGACCGACGGTACTGACGTTCTACAACTAACTGGCTATCAGCTCTAGCACATCTTGGATTGCCACTCCAACAGCCTTCCAACTTGGAAGGTTCTAAGTCGTTATGATAACATGAGGAGGGGAAGGTGAGCACAATCAAGACTAGCACGAGCTGAAAGTCTCAGCTGTGAAGGACGTTGGCGGATGTACATGCATGTCGATGACGACACTGGCAAAACCATTGGACAATACGGTCAAACCATGTTGGGTTAGAAAAAGTCAGGACAAGAACGGGGACCATGAATGTACGGATAATTATCTACTTGATTTGGTAGAGAGAAACACTGGACTAGTTAAACAGTGTATGCATTGTGACAAGTTGTGAGGCCCTGACGTTAGAATGGAAGGAATGGCATCACTCATCACAGTGAACTACGGCCAATGCAACTGTTGCAGCATCGGTCACAGCATCGGTCACAGCATCGGTCACAGCATCGGTCACAGCATCGGTCACAGCATCGGTCACAGGAATACGCATGTAGCTACTAGCTACATGCATATTCCTTGGACACGTGCACACAGTTGGTGTTGAGAAGAAAAAAACAATTTATACCGGTACCTGAAGTAACATAACTCACCTTGGGCCATTGTTTTGATCTTCTTCCAGAGGTTTCCCTTGTCTGACGCATCATTCATTTTTGAAATCTGATCACAGGCTTTCATCTGAATGTACATTTTAGTCACATATGACAAGCTTAGTCACTGACCACTGACCATAGTGACAGCAGTGACCGGGTCATTGTCACATGACCAGGTCAGTTTCACATGACCTGGTGAGTCACACATGACCAGGTCAGTGTCACATGACCTGGTGAGTCACACATGACCCGGTCAGTGTCATACACCAGGTCAGCTCAGTGGGAGCTAATTGGCGACCTAACCATGACAAACTGGTCCAGTCACCTAAGTCCTTTTTATACAAACCAGGTCATGTGACACTTACCAGGTCATGTGACACTTACCAGGTCAGTCACACTTACCAGGTCATGTGACACTTACCAGGTCATGTGACACTTACCAGGTCATGGGACACTTACCAGGTCATGGGACACCTACCAGGTCATGGGACACTTACCAGGTCAGTCACACTTACCAGGGTAGTCGCATTATACGTATGGTCGCGAATATGGTGACCGCAGTTAACTAACATTACTTGTACGTTGTGTGTAAGTGACATCACCACCGACGACACACTAGTCACACTGCATTTTGGTTTAACTGCTTTGTCTGTTGCTATAGGTTACAGTATGGTATACCGAATACAGCATAGTACGCTAGCATAGTGCATTCTGACAGTGTGTGCTCAAGGCAAGATTCTCAGTAATCCATGCGTTCCCACAATACAGTGGAGGTGATCCTGGTATTGCAGTGCCAACACCGAATCCGGTAAGGAACATGCAAATGACACGATTTTACTGCATATCAAGCTGACAAAAGTGATGACAATTAGCAAACCTTTACAGCATGGTGCACTTCGGCAGTGTAGTAACAAGTTTTCCCTACTATTTTCTTTTTGATAAGCTCCGAGTCACCCAAATAACGTTAGGGTCCGTCCGAGGTTTCTCGTGTTGCTGTTGTTGTTTTCAAAATGAAGTTACTCATCCATCCAGCCAGCCAACCACCCACCAACTCACCCACCTACTCACCCACCCACCTACTCACCCACCTACCCACCCACCTACTCACCCACCCTTTTCTCTCTGGAAGTAAAATTATTGTTTGTATGTTGAGGGTTGGCGGGTTGGACAATTGGACAATTGATTAGTATGTCAGTGTATGTCAGTGTATGGCAGTGTATGTCAGTGTATGGCAGTGTATGTGGGTGGTCGGTTGTGTTAATCACAGTGTGTAGTGATGTGAGCATAGGGACATTTGAAGTACATCACATTGACTTACAATTTGCACTGAGCTGGTCTTATCCCCTGTACATTGTACCCTGCAGAGAACAGCCATGACATAATGCTGTGTCATGTGTCATGTGACATGTGTCATGTGACATATGACATGTGCGGCTTCACTATAGTAGGTCTAGCCCAAATATTCGCGGGGGCGCTTCGATATTTTGGGGCCAAATTTTGCCCAAACACTTCCTGTATTTTGCTTGGCATTGCCTTTCGTTTCTGATATTTTGCTCCATTTTGCTCCTGCTTTGTGGCAAAAATGGCTTCGAATGAACCGTCTACTTGGTAAAAGTGGTAGGTGACTCTGATGAGAAATGCAAAACTGCAAGTGGTGTCAGTATTACGGATTTTGTAGCTCGATTTCAAATTTGTGTACCCCTGACAACATATACGAGCTATTTCAGGACGAAATTGGCCCAATTAAAGCAAAGAAATTAGAATAATTATAATACTGTAAACCGTGAAATTATTGCCATGGTCTAATTTCTGCGAAATTCGCAACCGCGTGGAAATCGCGAAATTTAGACAGCGCGAAAAGGAGATCCATGAAAGGTTGAGCAAGAATGCCACAGGTTTAGCAAGAATGCCATTCTGCAATCGCAAAATTAAAACCTCGCAAACCTGTCCGGATTCTGAAAACGCGAACTAAAAACGCCGCAAAAATATCACGCTTTACACTAGGCAAAACACTCCCGGATTCTTTCTCTATAAATGCAAGATTTTGCTCGGAATTTGCAAGCAATTTCTTTTCGTGGGAAAATTTGATATGTGGCTGGAAGCATTGCCGGCAAATTTGGGCTAGACCTACGCAGAGCAAGCATAAATTTCTCAGTGCTTATTAGCACGGCCGGAAACGAGCGTGACATGACCGAATATTGCAAATTCCTATAAAAAAAAACACACCATTTGATGGCACAAACCAGCAAGGCAGCGATGAGACATATGGAATGGCAAGAGTGGGGGAGAGGCAGGGGCAGCTTGATCGACCATAGGGTCTCGGCTTCATTCCAACCCAAGCGCTCCACAAAAACAAAAGATTACAGCTTACGCAGGGGGGGGGGGGGGAGGGGGTAGATAACTGGGGATTACGGGGAAAAGTATGCACAATAAAAATTTATCAGAGAGTCAACGAAGTGGATGGAGGAGGGAACAGAGTTTTTTCCTCCTTTTCTTTGATTCATAGCCTGTCCATTGCCCACTCCCAGTGGGTAAGGCGCAGGTGGGCGTTGACCTTTTCTTTGAACGTCTGCAGTCCTTTCCTTGTTGGCTGGTTCAGCAGAACGCACTGCGAGAGCTGGTTCCAGACCTCCAGAACAGCCAGGTCAGGGAAGCAGCATACTGGCTCATCTATTCAGACCTCCACAACAGCCAGGTCAGGGAAGCAGCATACTGGCTCATCTATTCAGACCTCCACAACAGCCAGGTCAGGGAAGCAGCATACTGGCTCATCTATTCAGACCTCCACAACAGCCAGGCAGGGGCGTCGGAACCGGTGCGGCAGGTGCGGCCAAAGCCGCACCAATAATTTTCGCATTTTTTTAATTTATTTTTTTATTATTTTTTTTACATTTCAACCTTGTTGGTGGCTTGTCGACTCTTGTCCAGGTACTGTTTTACATCGACAATGCGGTGTATCATCAGCATGCATATTCTTTTTATTATTCTATATGGCTTTTTAGGCCCAATTTTCAAAAATTTTCCCGGGGGAGGACCCCCGCACCCCCCTCTCACACTTTTGCCGCACCAATGTTAAACTCCTTCCGACGGCCCTGCCAGGTCAGGGAAGCAGCATACTGGCTCATCTATTCAGACCTCCACAACAGCCAGGTCAGGGAAGCAGCATAGCAGCATACTGGCTCATCTATTCAGACCTGCACACTACCTGCACACTACCTGCACACTACCTGCACACTACCTGCACACTACCTGCACACTACCTGCACACTACCTGCACACTACCTGCACACTACCTGCACACTACCTGCACACTACCTGCACACTACCTGCACACTACCTGCACACTACCTGCACACTACCTGCACACTACCTGCACACTACCTGCACACTACCTGCACACTACCTGCACACTACCTGCACACTACCTGCACACTACCTGCACACTACCTGCACACTACCTGCACACTACCTGCACACTACCTGCACACTACCTGCACACTACCTGCACACTACCTGCACACTACCTGCACACTACCTGCACACTACCTGCACACTACCTGCACACTACCTGCACACTACCTGCACACTACCTGCACACTACCTGGCGGTATGTACCGTAATGTCGCGTGCATTAGCCGGGGCTTATATGCCTATAAGCCGGTGATGGAGTCAGGCTTGTACACAAGACAGGCTTATACACGAGACAGGCTTATATGACAAGCACCACTCAATGACCAGGCTTGTATGCGCAAACTGCTGACTTTTGGACGTCAAAACCAACATTTTCCAACGGGATTTTTTTTCTTTTTTTTCGCTCCCTGAACCGCGTCCCCCCTCTCCTTTCTCTCTCTCTCTCTCTCTCTCTCTCTCTCTCTCTCTCTCTCTCTCTCTCTCTCTCTCTCTCTCTCTCTCTCTCACACACACACACACACACACACACACACACACACACACACACACACACACACACACACAAACGAACAAGCCAACTCATCAAACACCAGCAGCTTCACAGTAGAGTTCAACTCCTTTTCAGGTCATGAGGTGTGGAGTACGATGATAAAGAACATGCTCGTACATGGTGCCGTGAGAATGAGAGGCAAGCAACAGGATGTGCACGCACAGAGTGAGACAAGTGTCAGCTATCGACACAGCTATCAAAGATACTACGGGTACCGGTACCCAGAAGGTACCGGTAGGTGATATTGTTTTGCAATTGCAGTTCAGTAGAAGTGTGCAGAAACAAAACAATTGTGTAACACTGACTTGATTAGCAAGATCAAGAAAGAAAGCAGTTCAGTATGAAACATCACTGTCCTTCTTCCTCAGAGGCACTGTCACTGCTGTCGCTGCGACTGTCATCACCACTTCCATTGACCTCGCCATCGTCACCAAGGACTACAGCGTCATGATCAAGCTCATCCACCACCTCATCACTGCCAGCATTGTCAACACGGAGTTCGGCTGTCGGCAAGGCGAACCGTTCAGCCAGTTGTTCTCGTCCGCTGGCAGCTGGACGGCCGTCCTTGAAGCATGACACATTCTCTGCCGTGGCTCCAGGCACCTGACCACAGCACTCGAACGACTTGGAGATAAGGTCAGGGGAAAGGCCTTGCCAAGCCTTCACCACAACGTCACACAGCTTCGACTTTGACATGGCACGCATGTTACCAGCAGCAGTGTATGACTTCTCTCCGGTTGCCATCCACTCGTCATACTGCTCCCGGATAGAAGTCTTGAATGGCTTATTCCAGCTGACATCCGGTGCTTGGATGAGGCCAGTGCACCCTCCTGGAATAACGGCACAGTCGATGTTCTGCTCGCGGCGGGTGGCCTTCACAGCATCACACACATGGCAGCGGTAAGAGTCCCATATGAGGAGCCTCTTCCCAAACGCAAAGGTACCCATCACCTTCTTGAGCCAGTCCGTCGTCAAGTCAGAGTTGAACCACCCATTGTCGGAGTAACTCACGACAATGTCGCGTCTGGCTTTCAGCTCCTTGTCCTCGGCCGTCTTGCCCTTTCCCTTGAAGATGATGTAGGGTAGGAGCTTCTTCCCGTCAGCTGAAGCACACAGAGCAACGGTTACATTGGCCTTGTCGTGGCCTGTTGATGCCAATGGAACAGATTGTGCTCCTACCACTTCCACTGTCCGACTGCTGGTGGAATCGAACCACACAGCAGTTTCATCCATAGCGAAGATGTTGGCCTTCGTCATGGTCGGATGTTCCGCGAAATACTTCCTCAGATACATCAGAAAATCCGTCAGTTTGGGAATCAAGTCTTCCGGAGATCGTTGGCTTTGATGGGTCTTCATTCTCATCGTCAGACGAAAACGCATAAAGAAGTTGGCACACCAACCAGCACTGGCGTTGAACTCCTCGGCGTTTCCCATCTCGGCATGGAGCTGTTTAGCCTTTGCACGGACAGACTTCCTGCTCACTCGTCGTCTCTGCTGACGTTCCCCAACAAGCCACTCGAACAAATTAGCTTCCAAATCTGTGAACTGGCTCCGCTTCCCACCAGATGTCCGGGATCGCTGCTCACCACGGCTGGTTTTGGACCTCTCCGCCACAAGAAGCTGGTTTTCTTGCCGTTTCCATCGCCGCACCATACTCTCGTCGATGCTGTGCTTTCTAGAAGCAGCAGTGACAGAAGTCGATTTTGCAGCTTTCACTACCGCCAGCTTGAATGTCGCTGAGTATTTTTTCCGAAGTCCTTTTGTTTTCGGCATTTCGACAAGCAGACTTGGTTGAGATGAGTTCTATCTACGGGTAGACTGCAACAAACACAAGTGAAAAGTTCGAGGAGCGCCGAAACAACTTCAAACAAGCAACTTGCCAAGGGACAAGACGGAAAATGCCATGGGAAAGGTAAGTTTGAAGCTTGAAGAGTGCTGCATGGCCGTCGAGCGCAGCTGGTGTTGATTTCCGCATCTTCCCACGTTTTCCGCGTGTGCAAGTGTACGGTACCATGCAAACATGAACATGTAAAAGGCGCGCTCACCAGTCTTGCGTAGTAGCCCGGCTTACGCACGCGACACGTGGCGCGTCTCGTGTACTGGCCCGGCTTATGCATGCGACAGGCTTGTACGCGAAAAGCTGTTGCAGATTTCATGCTTCTACACGAGACAGGCTTATGCACAAATCCGGCTTATGCACGCGACATTACGGTACGTGTACATGTACATACATGTAGTGCGCATCAAAATTAGGTTGTCACGGGAACAGCTATTTACGAGCAAGCATGTATGGGCTTTCCAATACTACCAGCACTGCTCAGGGCTTGGGTTCAGAATCTGTGTGTGTGTTTTGTGTGTGTGTGTGTGTGTGTGTGTGTGTGTGTGTGTGTGCGTGTGTGTGTGTGTGTGTGCGTGTGCGTGTGTTTGTGTGTGTGTGTGTTTGTGTGTGTGTGTGTGTGTGTGTGTGCGCGTGCATGCATGTGTGTATGTGTGTGTGCGTGCGTGCGTGTGCGCGCGTGCATGTGTGCGCGCGCGCGCGCGTGTGTGTGTGTGTGTGTGTGTGTGTGTGTGTGTGTGTGTGTGTGTGTGTGTGTGTGTGTGTGAAAAAGCCACTTCATAGCTGTGTGGTGTAGACAAGGCTGAATAGTGGCGGTAAATTCTTCAGTCTTGCAAGCTTTGAATGGTGCAATCCCAGCACAAGCTGCTATGGCTTCTGCCGTAGCATCGCTATCATCGCCTCTGGCGATGGGCATCCAATGGTCCAATGGTCCAATGGTGTGTGTGTGTGTGTGTGTGTGTGTGTGTGTGTATGTGTTCATGTGTGTGTATGCATGTGTGTGTGTATATGTGTGTGTGTGTGCACGCGCGCGCGCGCGTGTGTGTATGTGTGTGTGTGTGTGTATGTGTGACCGCTAACATGCAGCTCTCGCACCGAGCTCTGCACCATCCCAGGCCCGATCTGCTCTCGGAAGTTCACACGTCCCAGTACCTGGCTCAACACAAATGCAAGAAGAAACTCTGTCCTCCTGCTGCATCCCCGTTAGGTGGCAGTTTCAAGGTTCAAGGTGCGTGTGTGGGCGTGTGTGTGTGTGTGTGTGTGTGTGTGTGTGTGTGTGTGTGTGTGTGTGTGCGGGTGTGCATGTGTGTGCGCGCCCGCGTGCGTGCGTGTGTGTGTGTGTGTCCCATATGGTGCAGTGGTATGTGCAGCGATTTCCAATCGATAGGTTGCGGGTTCGATTCCCGACGATTATGGTCACACACGTCTTTCTTCTCTTTCTCAGACTCTTCCTGACTTTTTTTTCATTCTCCTGGGTGGCTACCAACAGCCTGTGCATGCCGGAGTACGTGGTGGGATGTGTGTGCGGGAAAAAATAAAAAAAGACCAAAAAGTAGGGATTCACTGGCCAGAAAAAGCCACTTCATAGCTGTGTGGTGTAGACCAGGCTGAATAGTGGCGGCCAATTCTTCAACCTTGCAAGATGTTGAATGGTGCAATCTCAGCACAAGTTGCTATGGCTTCTGCTGTAGCATCGCTATCATCGCCTCCGGCGATGGGCGTCCAATGGCCTCATGATCCAATGGTGTGTGTGTGTTATTGATTGATAGGGATTCACTAGCCAGAAAAAGCCACTTCATAGCTGTGTGCTGGATCCCAGGCTAAAATTAGGGGCGGTCGATTCATCAGCCTTGAAAGCTGTTTAAGGTAGCTCATGCCGAAATACCCTTTCCGAAAATTCACCAGTTTAACACCTTTTTTTGCAAAGCTATGGGTGTGCAGAATGAGAAAATCGATATATTAGGGTATGTAATCCGCGATATTCATGTTAAAACAAAATGGCGTCACGATTTATTGAAAGTGGTATAGTTGGTGGTACGAGTGTTCAAAACCATTTGAACTTCATACTGTTCGTCTTCTTTTTGACACGCTCTCTTTCCATCGTCCTTAGCTTTTGTTTGTTGAGAGCTGTTTTGGCTTTCTCCTATACCTCTGGGGGATGCCAAGTGATGGTTTTGAGAGGCTGGTGATGGCTGTGAGCGAGAGTCTGCCGATCGGCGTCGTCCTCGCTGTAGCGATAAAAATACTAGTTACTGCGCACCTGGCAGATATCACAACACGTCGGAGCGTCCAGGAGCAAAGTAATCTTGGGTTTTCACTGGAATCTAGTTCCTCCAGCATCGTGTAGCCCACCGTCGGTGAATGGCGGTCCAGAAAGGTCAAACCTGGTCTTCTGCAGCATCTCGCAGTCCTGCGAGGCACACCGTGTACGCCTGCCATGTATTGTACAAATAAAACTCATGCAGTAGTGGACTCTACAGTGATGAGTCTCAGCCTGTATGCTGCAAAAGACACAGGAAATGTGACTGGTGTCTGTACACTCAGTGACTGGACGCCAACACCCCAGTCTTCTCCTGCAGGATCTGTTTGACAATGACATTATGCAGTAGGTCGGCATTGACCTGGTTTGGCAGCTATCGTAATAGTATCTGCCTGGTTGGATGTAGCAGGTTGGCGTTTGCTCGTCGTCCAGTCCGGAGTTTTCTTGTAACTCACGGTGGAGTACGCGCAGGGTTTGTGATCATCCCTGTTCACTTCAATATTATCAAACACAACGTTCCCTTTGTCACTCATCTTATCCTGAGTACTGAATTTGCTGACAATATTGCACCACACTTGTCACAACCTACCGCCACTGCTGGCGGTGGCGACTGGTTCGTCAATGGCGGTGACCAGGCTGACTGACTAGCTTCGAGACAGCGGCCTCGTTGTCAACCCCCCGTCAACCCCGCGGCAGCCTAAAGGTTGATTTTATCGATCCAGCCTCAGCGCCATGTTGACGATGCCTTAGTGAGTGTGTGTCATGGATTGCCTTGCCATCAGCGGTCATTGCCGTCCACCTTGGTGCAGCCCTCAACAACTGGCTCAGCCCATGGGAGTCTCAAGTGGACAAAGTTGTTGCCAAAGTAGCTCAGAAGATTGGTGCATCGTGGTGTAGCTGAGCACATAACTAGGACTTCCCAGCGCCTATTTGTCCAGGCTGCGATACTATGTGACATGCTGTACTGCACATTCTTTTCAGCACTGCAAGGCCGGCAGCTGGACCGACTGCAGGGGCCGCGCACATGCAGGCCGCCTGTTGCCAGTGCAGCATTCTGGAACGTTCCTTCCTTCTGAGATCCGTGTAGTAATAACTTTCTTTGCTTCAAAGCAAGTTAGCAAGTTGCTTACCTTTCTGTTGTGCTCCCAGTGTCCTTACAACAATAACCTACAGCAATGTTTTATTTTCCTTTCCATTCCCCAACCAATGAATACTACAATGTCGATTCTATTTCTGAATACTTTAGTGTGTGCCCGCGCACGCACGTGTGTGTGTGTATACCTCACTTGCCACTCGAAGTTCTGTTCCCCATTACTGGAACACTGCCTGTTCTTTCAGGACCTGCCATCATCTGCGGATGGGCATTGTATTGTGTGTGTGTGTGTGCGTGTGTGTGTGTGTGTGTGTGTGTGTTTCATTCAGAATCAGATCCGCTATCGTTGTTATAAGAGAAAATCTGTGGGTTTACATCCAGTGCATTTGTAGATTTGCGTGCTTTTCTCGCCACGGGCGCATACATGGGACATTGTGTGTGTGTGTGTGTGTGTGTGTGTGTGTGCGTCTGTGTGTATGGGGATATTGTCTGTATCGGCTTTTGGTACTAATGTTCAGGTCTGTGCTTGCATGTGTGAACATGAAATTGTTCGGTTCTGTGCATGCTGTTGCTATGTTGTATATTATTGTATGTATGTGTGCATTTCCACGAACAGTGTAGATGAGCGTGGAGAGTGCATTCATCCCTCATCAACCACTTCCCCTTGGGCTTACGAGAGTTTTTTCTGCGTACCTCTCATTTTTGTTTGTTTCTCTCTGATACTGTATTGATGCCGGTACCTGTACCTCGATGTGTTCCTCTATCTGTAGTCGCCTTTATCCTTCGGTCAAGTTAACGTTTATTGTGCTCTATTTATCGTGCGAATCAAAATAAACAATAATAACACAAGTCATGCTAGAGTGACGACATGTGCGTGTAGTAGGGTTGATGTGATGGGAAGTTATAATTAGGTGGAACAGAACACACATTGGGCAGATTGATTGGGCATCATTGATTGTGCTCAGTCTAAACAGTGAACATAATAATTATCTCCAGTGACAGACTGTAGCGGCTAGCCTCCAATAGGTAGCTGGCACTAGTCGCTACTGCTTGTTTGACAGGTGCCGCCAGAACCCCTGTTGTGTCATGCTATAGATGCACATGCCCTATTCTGGGGCATACTGAGGATTTTGTTGACTGCATGTAGACAGCATCCAATAGTAGTACTCGTAGACCTTGGCTCTTTGTAGGTCAACCACCATCGCATGGATCGATCCGTGACTATGCACTTGGAGGTTGGAATAGCCCGCGCTGAACAAATCTTACCATGGCCCAGGGAGTGAACTCGCTTACTTGACTATCCCGGTTTTAGTTAACCAGCATGAGTGGTGCAATTTGTCCATACCATGTTGCGAGCTCACAGTTGTTTGGGCAGGTTTTGAGCTGCACCACGAAACAAAGCGAAATAACGGCGTGACTGTAGAGCAAGGAAGCGGCGAGACGGCACTTCCAGGACGAGACAGGCAGTAGAGATGTGTTCACAGCAGGAGCAACCTCTCAAACCCTGCCGGTACTCCACAGTTACAAGAAAATGTCGGACTGGACGACGCGCCAATGCAAACCTGCTACATCCACCCAGGCAGATAGCTGCCAAACCAGGCCAATGTCGACCCACTGCATACCGGTATGTCAATGTCAAACAGATCCTGCAGGAGAAGACTGGGATGATATTGGCGTCCAGTGTACGGACACCAGTCACATTTCCTGCGTCTTTTGCAGCATACAGGATAGACTCATCACTATAAAGTCCACTACTTCGTGATTTTTATTTGTAGAATACATGACAGGCGTATTCAGTGTGCCTCGCAGGACTGCGAGATGCTGCAGAAGACCATGTTCGACCTTTCTGGACCGCCATTCACCGACGGTGGGCTACACGATGCTGGAGGAACTAGATTCCAGTGAAAACCCAAGATTCCTTTGCTCCTGGACGCTCCGACGTGTTGTGATATCTGCCAGGTGCGCAGTAACTAGTATTTTCATCGCTATAGCGAGGACGACGCCGATCGGCAAACTCTCGCTCACAGCCATCACCAGCCTCTCAAAACCATCACTTGGCATCCCCCAGAGGTATAGGAGAAAGCCAAAACAGCTCTCAACAAACAAAAGCTAAGGACGATGGAAAGAGAGCATGTCAAAAAAAAGACGAACAGTATGAAGTTCAAATGGTTTTGAACACTCGTACCACCAACTATACCACTTTTAATAAGTCGTGACGCCATTTTGTTTTAACACGCATACGGTCCATTGGGCACTTTGGAGGGGTTATGGCCCCTTGAAGTAGCCCAAATGAGGCGTTCTCTAAGAAAAAGACAAGTTTACATTGAGGACAATAAAAATGCTTCCAACCTTCATCTGTTGCTTCTTGCAATCATGTCAGTAATTCCCATGATATCAGAACATGTCAGTAATTCCCATGGTATCAGAACATGTCAGTAATTCCCATGATATCAGAACATGAAAAGGCGACGAGGAGACAATAACTTTATTAATGCGATTAATAGTATAAGTGAAGCGGACATTACAAAATGATGAATGAGAATACATGTATCTAAAATGGTTGTTCCTAATCGATTTTCTTGAGACTATCATCAGGGAAAATCGTCTCACAATAGAGGCTATACGGAGAAACAAACTACTTATAGGTTAATGGATAGTGGGAAGTATACAAGGTGAGGTGTGAAAAAAAACTAAAGTGGGAGAGAAGACGAAAGAAATTAGAAGAAAAGATGTGAGAGTGTTCTGACGGTGTGAGCTACTACAAAAGGTGAGTGAAATGAAGGCGTGGAAGCAGGTGAATGTGATAGAGTGAGGAACTGTGAGGTGTAGGTGTATGCGAATGAATACGTGTGTGAATGCTAGGTGAAGAGTCTCAGTTTTGTGACATTTTCTTTCTGAATGCATAGATTAGGATTGTGTTTACGGATGAAAACAGCTTCTAATACCTTAAGTTCACGAAACCTACAGTGTATGATGATTCATGCTTCACTGTTTTGTGTCGTGCTCGTAGGTTTCGTGAACTTAAGGTATTAGAAGCTGTTTCATCCGTAAACACAATCCTAATCTATGCATTCAGAAAGAAAATGTCACAAAACTGAGACTCTTCACCTAGCATTCACACACGTATTCATTCGCATACACCTACACCTCACAGTTCCTCACTCTATCACATTCACCTGCTTCCACGCCTTCATTTCACTCACCTTTTGTAGTAGCTCACACCGTCAGAACACTCTCACATCTTTTCTTCTAATTTCTTTCGTCTTCTCTCCCACTTTAGTTTTTTTTCACACCTCACCTTGTATACTTCCCACTATCCATTAACCTATAAGTAGTTTGTTTCTCCGTATAGCCTCTATTGTGAGACGATTTTCCCTGATGATAGTCTCAAGAAAATCGATTAGGAACAACCATTTTAGATACATGTATTCTCATTCATCATTTTGTAATGTCCGCTTCACTTATACTATTAATCGCATTAATATCAGAACATGTCAGTAATTCCCATGATATCAGAACATGTCAGTAATTCCCATGATATCAGAACATGTCAGTAACTCCCATGATATCAGAACATGTCAGTAATTCCCATGATATCAGATCATGTTAGGGTAGATTTATCAGCAAAAATACACTGGTTGAAAGTAAAGGCTTCTGTGTGAGGAGACGAAACAGGTATTCCGAACCCCGATTCAATATGGTTCCGCAGTGCTTTGAAATTTAATTTCTGCAAATTGGCCCGAAAATAATTGAGTTTGTCCTGCTATCTGCATCGCACTACTTCAGTATCATAAAGTTATGTCCAAATGAGGTTAGGTCATTGGACCCGTTTATCCGCTGTTTGCAGAAATATGCGAAGAAATGGTCGTCTCTCGTAATTGATTCCAGAGTGTTTGCCTCAACAGTGTGTGATTATAGTGGTTCTTAATTCGAGAAAAAGAATTGAAATGCACTTATGTGACAGTTTAGTGTAAACCTGCCTCATAAAACAAATAAAACTGAGCGAACTCCTGTTTGTAAAAGTAGGGTTTTTCTCTTATTTCGTGACATAAATGTGAACGTATGGGTGTGTCTTTCACAGGCCCCAAATATAGGGAAGGATTCATTACACACTAGCCAAATTTTGGGATTAACATCTTGCCCTCATGATGCTTCAACACTGGAAATTTGAACAAAATCAGACAGAAAATGGTTTTTGACCTCCTATATTTTTCGCGATATAGGCCCGAGCTACCTTAATGGTGTAATCCCAGCACAAGTTGCTATGTCTAACATAGCTGTTCGCTATCATCACTTCCGCGATGCATGGCCAGCAATCAAGGACATCTGAGAGTTGTAATTTTTGTACTCCTCCGAGGTGTGATTTTTGGCGTGCTGGGCCAAGCACAAGGAAGCCAACTGCAAAAAAACTGCAGAAAATCGTTGTTGTTTGATCCTTTGGTGTAATCTTTGTTTCTAGTCGAAGCTGGTTGCTGTTTGGAGCAGAAACGCTGAAATTGACTATTTTCTGCATGTACTCATACATGTACTCATGTACTCAGGGCATGCAGTCTCACTCGTATTTTAGCTATTTTTCTGGAATGGATGCTGCTCTGCGCCCCTTGGTGAACATTTCCTGCGCTCGTGGAGCAGCTGAAAAGGACCACTGGTATGTCTGGTTCCTGGTTTGAAAGTGGAGAGTCGACTTTTGTGCCTTGAAAAAGGAGTAGAGAGCGATAAAGGTACGTCTGTGGCTGATTTTTGAGTGCTCCTCGTACATTTTTGATCGTGATAGAAATTCTCAGACCAAAGTCAGACCAAAGTCAGCGCGATGATGGTCGTACAGTTGTCTTGTGAATTTTTTAGTTGTTTCATCTCGTATCTATGTCAGTATCGTGATGGTGAAGTGGAGAGGGTGATTTTCTTCCTCTAGGCTTCGTTCGGCCGACTTTGCTTCGTCCTCGTTGAAAAGTGATCCTGAAAAAAAGGTCGATTCGCAAAATTATGTTGATTTTCAATGTACGAGATGACATGCGATTGCTGGCTATGGGCATGTCTGAGTCTGAGTATTGATTGCAATGTAGGTACATTGGACATATGGAATGGGGTGTTGTCAGTGTGACTTACTGCATACTGTGGAATGGGGTGTTGTCAGTGTGACTTACTGAATACTGTTGAGAAATGGCCATATACGCTGGTAGGTCTCTCTGTGTTTTGGATAAGTTATATATCCGTCGGTTCCGTTGAATTTGGACGCAGATACTGTTACTGTCTGAAATAGGTAATCAAAGACGAAGTACAACAATTATCTGCGTCAACAGAAACAGATCATCAGCATAATGAACTATGCTTTTTGCCTGCCTATACTTCGCAGATTTTGATCAGTTTACCCCTTCCTCGGCATCCGGCATGCCGGTACCTCTTGCTCGGTGTCCATACCCTCCCTTGTGGCTGTACTGATTGCACTTTCCTAAGGGTGTGAAAATTCCATTGTACTTTGAAATAGTTATGGTTTGATGCAGTTTTCCAGTCAAGCCCATCTTCAGCAAGTGTGATTGGTGGTGTATTATGCTATTTTCTGATTGAATCGATCAGAATATTGGAGTAATTAACCCGTTGAGCCAGCACCATGAGATAACTCGTTTTCAAAAACAACCTGAAATCCGCATCACGGTAATTATAGCTTGTTGGCAACTGTGCTAGATTGGGCAGTGCATACATGTATACAAATTAGTGCTGAAACGAGCGTATCTAAAACAAACGAGCGTATCTATAACAAACGAGCGATCAGTTCCACTAACGAGCAAGCTATTGAGCGAGCTAACGAGTTTCATTGATGTGGCAAATATGATTTTTTGAATATTTTTTTTCTAAGTTCGATTTTTTCAGCTGGTTCAAATTATCATTGCAAATTATCACTGCCGGAATTTGGGGTTGCTGCTGCTTTACTTCACTTCGGACTGCTGTTTGATGTCGAGATGTCTTTTCAGCGCCGTCGTTGAGTAGCCTTTGTAAGAATAGACCGTTTTGCAAAGATTGCAAGTAGCCCTGGTCTTCGCTGCATCGCGGGAGAAAACTTCCAAACGACTGAGCGTAACTTTCACTCAACTGGAGAGGTGACGGAAGCATATCCTGCGACAGGTCAGCAGATGCGGAACAAGACATCAGTAGAGTCCACCAAAGCTGCAACGACAACTGAAACAACTCAAGTGTCGTGTAGGCATACAGTCACTGTCACTGCGAGTGCGAGTGCGAGTGCGAGTGATTTTCACTTTGCGCTGGACTGGACTCTCGATCGTCCAGGGAGTCGTAAAATATTTTACGACTCCCCGGTCGCGACGTCGACATGCACTGCCATGTGTACGGAGTACGGTGTACGGTGTTCGTTTGTGCAAACAAGCTGGCCGCACAAACGAGCCGAGTTTCTGGCGAGCGAGCTAACGAGTACCCAGGGAGATTGTTTCAACACTAATACAAATTCAACAGATTGGGCAGTGCAGATAAAAGTTCAACAGATTGGGCAGTGCAGATACAAGTTCAACAGATTGGGCAGTGCAGACACAAGTTCAACAGATTGGGCAGTGCAGACACAAGTTCAACAGATTGGGCAGTGCAGACACAAGTTCAACAGATTGGGCAGTGCAGACACAAGTTCAACAGATTGGGCAGTGCAGACATGTATAGAAATTCAACAGATTGGGCAGTGCAGACACACATTCAACCTGTAGTATCTCCTGGTATAATTTCTTACTTAGAACCTTCGAAGTTAGAAGGCTGTGCGAAGTAGTTAGAACCTTCCAAGCTGGAAGGCTGTACTGTATAAGTACAACTCTTCGCTTACGAAATCTTTCGTTAGATCACTCCACCAGCAGGTTCGCTACGTACTAAATTTCGTTTTTGGTTGAGGTCTGTCATCCCGAACGTTCAGAAAAGAACTTTAGTTATTTCGTGCCCCCTAACGAATATAGCACTGTTAGTTAGCCTGGCCATAATAATACGCCTACCCCTGACATGCTTGCCTGCCTACTCGTGTGCACGCATGCATTCTTGCCGGAAATGTCTACCTGTGTCGACAATAATTTTTCATGGACTGATCTTCTATTTTTAGTGTTTGCACACTCTTAGCTGCTGCTGTGGCACTTTTGTATTTTCCCTGCTGCTGCGCTCTCTATGGCTGCACTAGCCGTATTAACTGTCATACCCATATGCACCCATTCCATCCCTGGCTACGCTTTGGAACTGTTTTCGTTGCCTAT